CTACATATGTGGACAGATGGTAGAGACACAGAAGAAAGAGTAGCTATGAAGACTCCATCAAGTAGGTGTATTCCAGTAGCCCAGAGGCCTGGAAGGCACTGCTTTCAGCCCATCCCTATGCCAGGACAGCCATGCAGATACAGGTCAGCTCCCTCCTGCTCGGGTAAGCCCGGGAACCTGCAGAAGTGGGCTAGCAGCGGCACCTCTCCCTGTGACAGCTTATTCCTGCTATGTGGAAGTTTCCCACCGCCTTCAGGTCATTAGCCACACAAAGTGGAACCTCCCTTTCCAGAGGCTGGTCCACTTGTGCATGTTTCCTCTGCTCCTCCAGCGTAAGTTCATCGGGCAGTCTAGATTAGCAGAGGAAGGCAAGGCCAAAGTAGCTGAAATGTGTTCGGCTCTGCTGGATTTGAGGTAAGCAGCTGAGGTGGAGATGCCCGAGCCCATTCTTTCTGGTGTGCCGTGTTTCCCATGGTACCTCAACAACCTGGCCATCACCATCTCACTCTACAGGAGGCCAAACTTTCCTCCAGGATGGCAAAAGTTTTCCAACTCACCCCTGAGCTTGCGCTCTGCTCTAACAAATGTGGCAAGTGGGGACAGTCAAAATGAGCTCAGAAGGTTCTTGCGAACTGGAAGTAGGCTTAGCTGAGGTTCTGAACAGTATGCCCTAAAGCTTACTTCCATCAGCACTGGAACGATTCCGAGCTCTGGTCACATGCCTGACTTCTTCTGCTAAGTGGAATGTTGTATGTAAGTACACACATACACACACCTCTAAACAGCTGACTAATACTGTATTTGCAGAATTGCTAATATACCAAGAATATCTGAGTTTGAAATGGGGGAGGGCAAGACTTCATGGGGAGAAATGTCACCATTTCCCCATAGTGGCTTGGCACAGGGTTGGCAGGGTCACTGTGCACCCTGGGCACCCACCCTGCTTTCCCTTCTTAGGGTGTTACAGTTAAGTCATGGGGTGAAGTAGACACAAAATACAAATGCTTCTGCTTATATTCACAGATGCTCAGACTTAAAGGTGCGCTATAACCTCACCCACAAAGAGTAAAACTTTGGGTGAGAAACTTTCTAGAACTACAGCCCCAATGTGCTGCATACGAGAAACACTAACCCTAAAGAAAGCTACGCTTATACTGAGTTCAGTGTCAACTTTTGGCACCACCATCTAATCCAACAAGGACTTAACTGAGGATGATCTACATGAACATAAAAGGAGGATTAATCCAAATGTTCAACATTAGTGGAACTTAGTAAATATCAAAGATACACCTTTAAAAGACAATCAGCTCAGAAGTGTAAAGGAAGAGAATACAAGTCTCTAGAAGAGGAGGGCTGGGTGCTACGGCTGGCACTGTCTGAGACTGGGGAGTTGGCAGTACCTAAAGCCCTCGGCCTTGGCCTATGGTCCTCAGTGACTATGATTATAAAGGACAGCCTAAGGGGCCTGGGCCTAACCCCTTGGAACGGTGTCAAGGTGCCATCTCAGGATCGGAGGTTTCCTGCTCAACATGAGCCAGAAGTAGGGGATACTAGGAGTCTGTCATCTGTACTAAAGAGACACACAAGCAGGTCATTATACAATAGCTTTATATTTTAAAAGAGCAAACTATAACAAAAAGTCCCGGATACACCTTGTTTTACTGGGAAAATTCTCTGCCATAGTGGTGTTTTGCTTGGTGACTGCGGAGGTCAGTTTTTGACATATTCAGTGCTTTGTTCTGGTCCATGAAAAGAACGTGAGGCTCCAAAGCCACAGAGAAACCCTGTCTCAAACAAACAAACAAACAAACAAACAAAAAGAACGAGGGGTCAGCTGGAGAAGGGACTACCGCACCAACTCTCCTACCTTTGAGGTCCGTGACGGTAAAGTCACAAATCTCAAGTTCCCCAAAGAGAAAACTGAGCCTGCTGCCAGTTCCACCTGTTTGTGTCTTGCCTTCCACACAGATCCTGAGGCACTTGCCAGTTTTTGCGGAGAGCAGATGAAAGCCACAAGGCAGATGCAGTGTCGTGTCTACATATTAGCTGTAATAGTAACCACTCCTGGTGTGCTCCTTACCTAATATCTATTAATACTATTTCTGCAATCCTGGTTCTACAGTGAAAAGTATCACAAGTACATTTAACAACAATATAGCCTACATTAATTAGATTTCATAAACAGGTCATGATATGCACAAAAATGTTATGACTGTATTATAAACACAAAAGGGAACCAACCATGTGAGGAATCTACCTCTAGAAATACAAGAATCTTAGTGTTAAGCACCAAGTTAAATTCTTAACTCCTGCCCCATGTTAGATTCTATAATGCTAAAACATTAAATCATAAAAGAGTATTCTTTAATTACAAGTACTCAAAACTGTAAAACCAGTTCTATAGCTACGGCTGTCTTGCAGATGAAGAAAAAGAAAACCAAGGCACAGAGAAGCAAAGGCACCTCCGAGGTTACCCCAAAACCAAGTGATAGGCCAGAGTGAGAGTTCTGGTCAAGTGGGCGTTTTCACTACTAGATTGCACATTCCAGTACTGTGCTTTCTTGAGACAGGGAGTTGCTATGGCTGGCTGGTCTAGAACTCACATACAGATCAGGCTGGCCTCAAACTTGCAGTGATCCTCCTGTCTCTGTTCCAAGGTACTAGAATTATAGACATGAGACATCGTGCCCAGCTTCCAAGTGTTTTTTAAAATAGACACCTGTACTCCTTCTGAAAAACCTAGTACCCATCAGTCCCTATTCTCTGTACTTCCACAGAACCTGAGGTCACTTCTGTGCAGGCACACTAAGCCAGTGCACTCCCTTAGGAGACCATAAACGAGACCATAAACCAAGTACCAAATACCTGATTTTTATAATGTCCCTCCTAAGCAAGCTCTAAATGTAACAGTTGTCTCTGCACACAACACCATGCTAATGTGCTGGGGAATGCTTTTCAAAGGTAAAGTAAAATAATGCTTACTAAAGCCCAGGCTTCATGGTAGGAAAAAGCGTGAAGGCCTTATCCTGCCTCCTAAACAATGAGGAAATAAGATCCTGTTTAAGGGATGGGATCCTTCTACTCTGAGGCAGCTTACAAATGTCTTCTCTTCACCGCCTCATATAATTCTCAGAACAATTATAACTAAAGCGGGGGAGACAACAGTATTCACATGATACAAATGAAGAAAGAGAAAATCAACAGATCTGTCGACCCACTTAAAGGACAAACAACATGGGAGCAAAGCCCAAAACTCTGACCGGCAAACGCATGGCGCTCTCTCTCCTGCTATGATGACATCCACACCCACTGTTGGTTATGTTAGAGAGAGACCTGGCTAGAGTCTGCTCTGACCCGTGTCAAAGGAAGGGGCGTCCACTGCCTTGGACCTGAGCTGTCATGTTTGCCTTGCTGCCTGTGCCACTATCCCCCTCACTCCCCGGAGAGGTGGCATTCTATAGACCTATCTGAGTTTACTTGTACTATGACTTAGGGTATAATCTTTTGAAAATAGATCAACTTTACTGTTTAATTATAAGTATGTCTATATTAGAAGAGTGTACACATTAATAAGGTAAAATAACACCAATCATAAGTCCAAATCAATTCCACCAGTGTATTTAAATCAGTATTCACCTATCACAGAAATGCTCTGTAAACCTGTTTCTTTAAATTGAGAAATAAATGTATCAATCCTTTTCCTCACCCCTGAAACAGAACTATTAGTCTTACTCATCAGAGACAGCTTACTACAGCTTACTTTAGAAACTAGAAGCTAGGATCAAAAAGTATTTATTAAAATAATGAGTAATCATACATATATTTATATATTCAGCAATAGGTCTAAATATATCTTTCTTAAAATACTGCACTGCACATTTAAAACAGCAAATTGGAAAGGAATGCTGGTTGATTGTTAAACTATGAAACATGCATATCTCCAGCCTTAAGAAAAGAAAGTGTTTCTGAAGTTTAAACAGATACCTTAAATACTAAACATACTTTTCTTACACATAGGCATGTTTTGTACAGGGAAACTAGGAATCAACTTTTCTAGGAGACAGCACAATAGTAGCTTTGCCCTCCTAAATCAAATGTAAGAAAAAGAACCATTTTGCATACTATATTTAATTTCTTGAAGCTTTTTATTGTTTATTTTGTTTTTTAAGACTTAGGCTTGCTCCCTTTGTAACCCAGGCTGGCCTTGAACTCAGAATATTCCTACTTCTGCCTCCCACCCTTTAAAAAATGTTTACGGTCTTATTTAGGACAGTAAAGAGGAAGAGTCTAGAGACAGAAAGGTACAAACCTATAGCCAGCTTACAGGTCACAAACAATAAGATGCAGGAACTATGAATTGTTTGAAGCCCATTGTCAATCTGTGGAAACTGGTAACAGAAAACCAGTTGGCTTTTCTGGGTTTCCGTTTTTCTTTCTGCTCATGGGGCTACAGCAAGATGTGCAAAGGCAAGGAGAGGAAACAAATGGGACAAGGGTGAGCTCCGTAAGTCAGCATGCTAGAGAACAACAGTCCAGCACCCGTCCAGCACCAACAGCACTGATGACCACACCTGCCATGAGGCATCTCCTTTTACAAGCAAGGCTTATCTGCTCACTCCCCACACCTGCCTTATTGGGAACTGTTTCATGCTCCTGGGCAGGTGTCATGTTTATCTTATAACAAACCTGCTAAGTTTCCATGGAGAGTAAAATAGCTAAGTTAAATACTGTTTAGTAGTGGCCTGATGAAACAGAGCCAAGTGGATTAAGCAAGTAGTCTAAACAAAAGCAATTCAACAACTGAACCAAGCTAAGAACACAGATTGCCTAATTTGTAGTCCAAAGTTGACTTGCTGGGCATCAATTCCCAAAGGCAAGTACAGCTACATAGAGCCTCTCTCACCTGGAACTTTGTGGATGAGTCAAACGAGACCAACACAGGAATAGGATGATACACACTACTTACTATCTGGTCTACGTCTAAAAGTGCAACATGAAAAGGCAAGAATTTAAGAGTATGAAAAAAGAACAAGGTGAGACTGCAGTTTTTGGTGATCACTATTCCCAGACTTCGAGGCCAGGGACCACATACAAGAATGGTGAGTAGTGTATCCATTTCTAACTGTGCTAACGTGTAAGTAGTAGTATCTGTCAGACAATACATGAGCATAAAAAAAAAGATGCTGCTGAGACTCAAATGAGAGCAGAGTGTGTGAAACAGAAAGAAAACATAACTGACAGATAAATGCATGCCATATTTATAGCTGTATATACTCAAACTAATATACATATATACATATTTTCTTCAACAGATAATTAGGATGGGCAGGAACACAATAACAAAATGAACCTTGACCACTATACTTCATTTTATTTCACTTAAAGTATGGATAAGCATCTTAACTGGATATTCATTTAAAGAGACTGCTAGACTGTTCGGACTGACCAACAAATGTCTTATAATAAAAGCCCTGAATTCCTTGGGGGAAAATGGTAAAGGGGACAGTGGAACTAAGTGACGGTTAGGGCCATCTAGAGACCAAGATTATGACTTTCAAAGGGAGCAGCAAAGACTGCCCTAGCTTGCAGAGGGAGGCCAAGGCAAGTCCACAGGAGCCTTTACAGAGAAGGGTCAAGTAATACTTTATTTAGGGTGAGCACCCAGTTTTAGGAGAGACTATGACTCAGGGAGAGATGTCGCCAGTCTGACACCAGGTGGTGCTCTCTGGCCCAACCTGTAAGTTTCCTATATTTTGGAAAGGAGGCAAAGAAAGATAACAGCCTTGAAAGAAAGCACTGGAGGTTGAATCAAGAACGCATAGATTTCTACTCTAGGCAGATGCCACTGCCAAATGAAGTCCCAGTCAGAGGTGGGCAGACATCCGCAACAGTGAGAGCTGCTTGAATCTTCAAGTCAGACACCAAGGGACAGAAGGGGGTGGTTCATGTGGAACCCACAGAGGAAAACCACTGGCTGGTACCTCTCACTGAAATGGTCCTGGATGCCTGCCTAGGTCCCTAATGTACCAAAACAGGGGTAGCCACTATCTGTCCTAACACAAGACTGATGGACAGAGGAACAAGGAGGGTCATCCCAATAGCTAATGCTGTGTATCTCCCTAGTAAGGACTGGAAGCTGACACTCTAGCTTCTGACCTACTAAGTACACTCTGCTTAGTGGACCGCCTTGAGGAAGAACAAGTGTCTGTTAAGAGGTGAGTTTATGGAAATCCAAGTATCCAGGGGCACCCTAGGAAAGTCCACCTCTTCACAAGTTCAAGGTCTGAGTTCACCAAGGGCTCCTCACAGCTTTGTTCTTTTCTTCTACATGCAAACAACATAAGGTTTCAACAGTAACGGCTTTCCCCAAGCTCAAAAATATTTCAAAGAAACTGTACTGAAACCTGGTCACCTCGATTTGCTTGCTGCAGTCAATCTAAGTAAACAAGCAGCCGAGAGATGGAAGACTTTGTCTTATTAGGTCCTGCCAATTCAGAGAGCAAACACTCTTGCAGGGGAGAGTTTAAACGACAACTAAACCAAATAGAGAATGCTGGAAAAATTTGAAGTGGCTAATCGAAAAAGACCAAACAAGGCACAGCCTGTGCCCAAGTTTTCAAAGATACGGGGACCGACGTAAAACTCTACATCCAATTCTGAGAAGGGGCAACTCTATCAGATCTATCCACCCGTCATTCTGTACTGCTAAAACTTCAACACCCACAGCGAATGGTAACGTGAATGTGTGTTTATACAGGCTTCCCTATGAACACCAAAGCTATTAAAAATTCTTTTAAAATAATAAGGCCCGAGAACACACAGGAAATCTAATATTTTAGCAGTATGCTGTAAAGTGTTTACGGACGGTGGGGCTCAAAAGTGGTACATGTTTTCTTGTGTGGCAATGCTGTTTCTCCTGGCAGAAGTTTCAGTTTGAGGAAAAGTCCACATGTAACATTTTAAGGGGTGCCGCACATTTCGGAGGAAACTACTGAACTTCACGGTCACGACCACACTGTCAGCTGAGTCTACGAAAAACGTACGCCAAGAGTAAGTTAACAGGTTTCCCAGGTTCAACTTCGCATAAAACACAGGGGGGAAATGTCACCTTGGCATGGACATCATCTAGAAAGCCCCGCGCTTCCCATTTTTGACCTCTTTCGGATGCGGGAGACGCCTGTCACTGTTGAGACCGGCCGGGAGCAGACGGTGACCAGAACAGCCGAGCTCCGGGGCGCACCTGGCTCGGGGATGGCCGCGGGAGCGTCGGGCCGCGCGCACTAGCGGCCGGGGGAGCTGTCACCGGCCGCGGGGACTCGGGAGCCATCGGAGCCGCGGCCGCTCCGCGCGCCGACCCGAGACTGCGGCGTCCCCGCCACCTCAGCCCGCGTCGGCCCTTCGGCAGCCCGCCGCGGCCTAGCGCCGTCAGCCCGCCCGCTCGCCCGCTCGCCGCCCGCCTCACCTGCGCGGCCGCGGCGCTTTTCCCGCCGCCGGTCGCTCTCATAGAAGCCCAGCGTCTCGGTGTGCTGCGGCGCGGGCCCGTGGCCGCCACCGCCCGGCTGCTCCGCCTCGCCGCGGCCCGTCCGCTCGGGGCCGTCCGCGCCGCCACCGCCGCCTTCTCCCGAGGCGGCTGCGTCGCAGACGCCCGCCATGTTCCGAGCGCCACACACTGTCCCCGCCACCACCTCCCTCCAGCCGCCCGCCCGGCCTCCGCCTCCCGCCGGCCCCCTCGCCGCCTCGCCCCGCCCCTCGCCCGAGCCGGGGCCGCCGCCATCCGCAGCCCGCCGGCCGGCGCGCGCCATTGGCGTCAGCGGCGCGTGGGAGGCCGCGGTGGCCGCCGCCACGGCCGCCGCCATCTTCTTCCTGCCGTCGCCGTGGCGCGCGGCGGGCTCCGCGGATCGGGTCGCCGTGCCGGTCTCCATGCTGCCGGGTGGCGCGGTGGGGGACGGCGGGCGGCGGCGGGGCTCGGCGTGGCTGTCGGCGCGACCCGAGCCCCTGGTGCCACTGCGGTGACCCGAGTGCGCCGGCGCGACCCGCCTGGCTTTGGCAGCGCGGCGACTGAGGCCGGGCTCCAGCTCCGCGGCTCCCGCCGGCGCCGGCCCGGTGGCTCTGCTGTCTTGGCTGCATCTGTCCTGCATATTTATGATCGTCTGTCACATTCCCTGTCCGTGGACAGTGTCCAAAGCTTAGCTCGGGGGAGCGTGCCAACAGGTGGGGGACTCGGCCCGACGGGCAGTGTGCCTGATGCGCCTGACGCGCCGCGGACATTCTGGGCTGCCTTTCGGGTTAGGTGACAGCGGGTGACAGCCAAGGTAGCCTGGTTCTGTCACCTGGTCACCGCTTTCCTCGGGGCCGCGACCGTAACCCCTCGCTGCTAGCCGCTCTGAGCCCACCCGCTGCGGGCTGGGTGGAAATGAATCCGGCTCAGAGTTGGAGACCCGCGTGATTGCTGTGCGCTCCAGCAACTGGCACGGTGGCCCCTCGATTGCCTTCTTGCCCACTTCGGAATTTACATGTATCGTTGCAACTTTTTAATGAGTAAAAGCATAACAAATGCCTCTCCTCGCACTGATCTGCCCTGCACTTTAGAGAACCGATGGTACATCAAGGAGCTCCTATGGGGTAGCCTGACACCCGACTGTAAACTCCCAGTTTGCAGGACTGTGCACAGCAAGGCCATTTGATAGTAGAGCAGTATGTTTGGGGAGAGGAAAGGTTAAAGAGGAACTTCCAAAGTCCAAGAAATCCCAATACCAATCCATTACCTTGTGGAAACCCGAACAATGCAATATATATAAAATCAGTTTTGGCTTTGTTTGGTCAAAGCAGAATCATGAAAATCAAAAGACATTAAGTTTTATAGCCTCTGAGGTTCCTTCCAGCCTAGATTGCATTATTCTCTGGTATTGTGCAAACAACCCCCTGTTTTATCTGCTGATTGTTAAGAAGGCAGCCGTTTTATTGCTTGCTTTTACCAGTGTCTGTGTCCCTCATCTGTCTGCTTATTGCCCCCACCATTCACTTGGATCTAAAAGGGATTTGCTCGATTTGCTAAGGGAGGTTTGTAGGAATGGGCTTGTCTCATTTTGAGTCTCAAACCTGAGGAAAGATGCTATATTTCGAAGGCTGTTCCTAATTTAAATAGTCAAAGAGGGAGAGGGGGGCCTGGTCAGGAAATTCAGCCTGTCCAAGAAGTGAAGGTGTTCCAGCCAGAGTAAGCATGATGGACACATGAAAAATTCAAGGGCTTTTGAGCTTTTTTTTACTGGGCTTTAATACTAGGCCTGAATTATTGTATCTGACTTGTGAAACTGCATAATTTCAAACTCACTGTACACACAAAATGCTTTAAATTCAGACAGCATTCTTTCCTTGTATAGGTATCTAAATCATCAAATAGCCTGTTGTATATACAAAGATTTTTTTAAATTTTATTTTACTTATTTCTGTTTTTGGGGGTTGTTTGTTTGCTTTTAATAGGGTCTCATTACATAGACCTGGCTGTCCTGGAACTCACTATGTAGACCAGGATGGCTCTGAACTCAAAGATACCTCCCTACCTCTGCCTCCTCAGTGCTGGGACTAAAGGTGTACACCACCATACCCAGCTATTTTTTCTTTTCATTTTAAAGATAATTTGACCTGTGGCAGTTAATTCAGAATCCAGGAAGCAGTGATTCTAATCAACACTTAGGAGCCAGGTGTGGTGGTACACACCTTCTAACACTCAAGGTCAAGGCAAGATTAGCAACTGGAAACTACTCCTAGGTGACGGGAGGCCACTCCTCCCAAACCTCAAAATAATAAGCATTCAGAACCCTCAAAATTAGGTTACAAATAACCTTAAGATACAAATAACTTACTTAGTACAGAACCAGGAAACCTCTGAGGAACACTTAAGTACCAATTAAACATAATTTTTATAAAAGAAAGACGAAGGCTTAGGTTTACAACACTATCATTTAAAAACAGGTGTTTTAAATAGCAGCCTTCTCCAAATCAAATATTTTGCATTGAGTTGTAGGACTAGACTTGGATGATAATGAGCTATAGTAAATTTAATTCTACAAGCAAGAAACATGCTGCTGACTAGGTGTGT